ACTCTGATCCAGTACCTAAATCCACTAGGGATTTGCTCCTAGCTCCAGAAGCAGGTCCCAAATCCCATTCCTGCATGTCAGACGACCGATTATCATAACGAGTGGGTAATGCCTGCCCTTCTAGACCTCAACTCTGCATGTTCCAAACATGTAGTCTCATGGGACTAGAACTATATAAGGGGTCATGAGCTGAAACAGAACCATTGCTTTCTAAGATGCCATCTTTGTCACTGGACAAAGTGAGGAGGACGACTCTAAGCAGCAAGCACTTCCAAGCCCGATAAAGTGAAAGAAGAAGAAACGTGAGAGCAGCGCCCTCCCAGATCTCTTTTCCTCCCCCAAACAGTACAGTTCTCCTGAAGGCCTCTGCTTTGACGGACCAGCCGGCTCTGCCTCTTTCCACAGTGTTCAGGCATGAGAGGGGCACCACAGGTAGAGGCAGAGCAGGTGGGTACATCAAACCAGAGGCCTTTAGGAGAAGCACCTTGTTTGAGGGTGGAAAATGTGGGCAGGCACTGCTCTTCCATTTCTTCTTCTATCACTTTGTTGGGCCTGGAGGTGCTCTCTGCCTTGAGAAGCCCTCCTCGCTTTATCCAGTAACAGAGCTAGCATCTTAGGAAGTCATGATTTAATTACGGCATTCAGCATGTAATGGAATTCTCTTTCTTTGACCAATTTTCTTGGGGGAAGTGAGGGCATCTCCGTGGTAGTGAGTGGGGCAAGCTCTGTGGTGCAGCAAAGCAATGGAGAAACGGGCAGTGGAGCGGCCGGGCAAGGGAAAGAGGGGACCGCTTTCCCCTCTTTCTTCTCCCTGCTCCTACTCCTTCCCTCGTGCCATCCTCTCCGTTTCCCATTTCTCCATTGCAGATAGCGGGGGTGGTGGTGTAATTTAATGACCGGTTCGTCCAGGGTCAGGTTGGTTGTTGTGGGAGGCTTGTCCTACAAGTGCTGTAGCCCTGGAGAACGGGGATGGGCCATGCCTCCCATGATGGCCAACCTGACCCTGGGTGTACTGGTTGTTAAATTATTTGAATCCCACCACTGGGTTAGCACTAAGAACATGAAAGAGTCTCCATGAAAAAGGTTCTCTAAAAAACAGAAAAATATATATGCTGGATACAGACAGCAGTCCTTACACTTGTGTTCTTCCCACTTGGAATGGTGGAGGCCTAATTGTAGTTCCTAATAGGACTACAATAGTATTAAAGGGGGAGGGATTATTTGCCTAAATTGGTCCAATTCATATTGCCCAGATGACAATGATGATTTTTATTATTCTCTTAGTACCTTTGATCACTAAATGCCCAGCCTTTTAATTTTATTTGTTTCTTTATTTAGAAAAGTTATTTGCTTCCCATCTCATATCCAATGAGTCTGGGTAGCTTACAGCATAAAACATTAAAGCAGAAAAGACATTTAAATCAACACTCAACAGATAAAATAATTGACAATTACAAACCACTAAAGCCAGATGGGAAAGGCAGGAGCTGGACGCACAGGGGGTGGGTAGGTGAGTTTTAATTAATCAACTCCAGTATGAAGCTCCCTCATTGAGTCCCCAAGCCATCTGGCAGAGCCAGGTCTTAAGGCTGTTTTGAAACATCAGAATCAGAAGCCAATAATATAGTTCACAGGCAGTAATTGTTATTCAGGGATCCTGGTTTAGTTTGGTTTGGCTTGGTTAAATAAGTAATAAAAACTCTGTAATATATAATCAGTGGCATGTTTGGTGCTCCTTGAGCTTAATTGTTCGTTTCATTACCAACTAGGTCAGTGGTCGCCAATTGGTGGGCCATGGCCCACTGGTGGTCCGTGAGAAAATTTTGGTGGGCCACAGAGAAATGTCCCCCCCCAAAAAAGCAATTAATTCAGGTTGTGCGGGAACACAAGGCTGCGCCTCCCACATAGCCCGCCCACCTGCTGGCCCCCACCCTTCAGCTGAGTGCAAACTTGCAAAAAGCAGCACAGCCCTTGCCAGCCAGAATGAAGTAATGGTGCTGTTGCACCAAGAGGGGGCTGACGGCACAGGCGGGCTGAGGCAACGATGGAGATGGCTGGAAGGTGCAGGAGCGCCACGCTACTTGCATTTGTGTGACACTGCCACACCTTCCAGCTTGCCTCTCCTGGCCTGGGCTCTTCCTCAATGGCCATGCATGGTAGGGATGGCCTGGGGCAGGAAAAGTACCAGCTGGTAGTGGTGGGAGGGGGCAAAGTGGGCAAGTCTGAGCTCACCATCCAGTTCAGCGGTCCAGAATGGGGCGGCAGCATCAGTTTTCTCATCCCTCTCTGTGCTCTGCTCTGCTGCCCCCGCCCCCCATGGCCCTAGCCATCGCTGCCCAGGAAAAGCACAGGAAAAATGAACAGAAACATAGCTCTCACTGGGACGAAAGAGCTGAGATTGAGGAAAGCACAGGCAAGAGAAGACGGAAGCTGCTGCCTTTGAAAAGTGCTGCTTTCTGTTGCCTATACCTTCTTCTGATCTCTGCTCTTTCCCGCCAGAGAGAGCTGTTTCTACTCGCTTGCTTTTCCTGGGAGGGGGCAGCAGAGATTTCAGGGCTGCTCTCCCCACTCAGCAAGCCAGGCCTGGAGGAATGTGAAGAATTACGGGCAAGCACCGGAGAAAGGTGTGTTGGAAATACCAACACATGTTTCCAGTGCATTTTCCTCTGTCCCGAAGTAAGATTGAGTTGGGGAAAGGGAGCAGGGGGAAGGGTAGGAGGGAAGGAAAAGCCTGGCTGGCTTTCCTTTGGCATGGGGCAGGGGGTAGACCAAATGCCCAGACTAAAAGAGTGCCGAGGAAGACGAGTTCCTAATAACCAGCCTGTTTGTGCAGGTGAGCGCTTGAGCTTTTCTGGGCTCGACACCCCCCCCCTTCGGCCTTCTCTGCTTGGAAGCTGCAGGAGAACCCTGGAGCTTAGTCTCGGGGAGACTTTGGCATGGGGGGGGTGTTGCCTGGTTATTAGGAGCCCATCTTCCTCAGCGCTTCCTGCCTGGCCCTCTTTCCCTCCCCCAACTCCAGGCAGCCACACCTGGCAAAGGAGGGAGAGGTTTCCTCTGAGTTGAGGGAGATATGAGATGACAGGAGACCAGATTGGGGGGGGGGGCTCTGCTTTTCTTCTGTTTGAGGGGGAGCCGGTTCCTCTCCATCCAGATCTTCCCAGGCACCATGTGGCTTCTTTTAAATCCCAGCAGTATTAAATCATCTTTCCCCCCCAAAGGATGAAAGAGGCACCTCCTTTCCCTTCGCTCTGCTCCACAGTTATGATTAAGCATTTACTATTTTATTATAATTAAATAAGCATTTATATATAATAAGCATCTATATCTAT